CCGCCGCCGCTGCTGCCGGTGGCGGTGCCGCTGCCGCTGCGGCCGGCGCCGGGCGAGCGAGCAGCCTGCGGGGGCAGGACGCTGCGGCGGCGGCGGCGGCGGCTCCAGCGCCGCTCGGCGGCGGCCAACAGCGGCACCCGGAGGCGCCGCCGCGCCACTGCAGCCGCCGGACGGCCGCGCTCAAGGGGGACCGGCTTGGGCGGGGCCCGGCGGCGGCACCGGGGCCGGAATTTGTTTCAGAGTGACATCAGCAAGGGCTGAAGCGCTTGCTTATTAGGACTCCAAAGGATTTGAAACATTTGGGTGCTTTTAGGGCATCTCCTTGAATTGCAATGTATTGTTAGAAGCAAATAATCATGTCAGAGTGATAAAGAATGTAATCAAGGCTCAGCTTTAATTTAAGGAAATTATATTAAAGCTTGAGAAGACTCTTAAGAGCTTTTAAGTACTCTGTTATCTTGAAATCGTGTTTCTTTATCTGGGACTAATTAATTTGATAAATCTATGAACCTAAATCAAGGTTTATAGTATTATAACAGCACATATTTTTTTCTTTGTTATCCACAGATATTCCTTAATTTTCACCTCTTTACTCCAGAAGCTGGCAAAGGAAAAGTACAAAGCCACATCAAATCTTCCATAGATCTTCAGCAGCCTATCAAGAACCCTCTAGTTGGCATCTCCGCCCTCTTATGGATCAACTCAGCTTGTTTCAGCTACAAATTTGAGGGTGCACTCAATCCCATTGTCTATGAAAATATGAAATGGAATCAATCCCAGTACAGGCCACAGGTATGAAACACCATGCTGATTTCCTCTTGGACGTTAGGCCATTGACTATAATTCTGTTCAGGTGACCATGCAGCCAGTAGCTCACCCATTGAACAGTCTCCTGTACAGTGGCCACCAGATTCTGGGAGACTGTGTGGGAAATACCCTGCACATATTCTCCCACCAGCCTCTACTCTGCTCATGGAAATCATGGCTGGTGACCACTCTGCCCATTGAGGACTGCAGCAGAGGTCGTGTTGTATTCTTTTGTTACAAACAGGAGTGCCTGGGTGATGCACATATGAGTATGAAACTCTTCCTTTTTATGGCTGTAAAACTCATAGGTGTGTATGTGAACTGTACTTGCACTGATGTCACCTTCCACAAAAGACCAGACACCCTGAGGCTGATCTCATGACAAGCAATGCAAATTTAGAAGCACAAAGAAATGAGCATATCAGGTGCAACATTTCTTAGGCTCCACTTCTACAAAGGTCATGTTTACATCTATTCATCCAGAAACAAAGAGAATTCAAAGCTACCTTTGCATCTCCTGCCTTTGACATCTGCTGCAGCAAGAGGCACTAATACAGCACATTCCTAAAATGCTGTTAACCTACATACACGGAAAACAAAAAAGACAAAAGGTGGTGAGAGAGACCCAACAGAAAATCTTGCTCTTCACTGCAATTGTTGAAATTTTTACTCTTCACATTGCTGAAATTCATCCTTGAGAGCACCCAGAAGGGATCAATATCTCAATGTACCGATGACTCCGGCTTAGCTTTTATATTTTTCAGATTCTGTTCTTCTTTAGAGTGTAAGTCTAGGCTTCATATTAGGGGATGGTGAGCTCTCTTCACAGAGTAGGGAGACAAAACAATTCCTTCCCTAGCTGGGGACCAAGGACAAATGATCAAAATCTCAAGCTCAAGAGCACAAACAACAGGAACTGAAGAGAGAAAAACAAGAAGGATGGGATTTCATGGACTGGAGATGTAATTGGAAAATTAACCCCAATATGCAAATGGGCCAGAACTTATAAAAGTGAGAGACCCCGTGACTTGTTGTCCATTTATTTGTGGCCATTTGGGTTGTGCTGCCCAACGTGGATCCGTTGAGGCCTCTTAATAAATCCCTACTTCTTTAGCCCTGTCTAGTCCCTATTCCAGGCCAGCCTTCAAAAGGCATCAGTACAAGTGTGGGCCTCAAGTCTTACCCTGGACTACAGAGTAGGGGGTTCATTTTAGGAAATACTCATCACCTTTCAGAAAATATGTTTCTTCTGGGTAGCTTACTCACCTCCCACAAATATGAAGCCATAAATTTAAATACGTTATGGATAGGCCTCCTCCTCAAGCTCAGTCTTTTGAGAAATTACAATTGTTTGTATTTTAACTTCTCCTTCATAATGCACACACAAAAAATTCTGTTCTAGGTGCCTGAAGTATTTGCTGCAAAACAACAATCACCATGTCAAAAGCAAAAGCACCAGAAATGAGGAAAAAGGCAACACTTCTTACAAGAAACAAAGGCCTGAAAGGAAATCTAATTATACTTATGAAGAAATTCTGCATCACTACATGACAAGAAGGTACAGATGGCTAATGGAGGTTTCACACAGGATTATTAAGTTATTCTACCCATGCATCATGGTTTTACATAAACATTTATTGTGAAAAAGCTGTATTGATAGAGAACTGCCATTGTCTTTTAGGACACAGAAATCAGGATCATAGCAGAAAACACACGGGTCTTGGCATAATGCTTAAAATCAAACCATTTCTCAGCCGAAGCCACAATGACCCACCTTTTTCCTGGTTCAATGGCAACCTCTCACCCTCTTTGCCCTGCATTTACAGCCCTTAGCTGGACCTTTGACATATAACAGCAAGCTTGCATATGTTACACATGGGGAAAAGAGCATTTAGTTCAGTTTCCTTATGAGGAAGCATAAATTTAGCAAACTGCTTAATATTTAGTGACGGTCACCTTCAAAGCACTGATGAGAATTTCTCTTCCATCCTGATATTTATAGGATTTTGGTGTTTGCAGGACTGTTTTTTTGGTATTTGCAGAATTGCCACTCATAATGAGGACTAGCTTTACTCCTTAAACAACAAAACAAACCAAACTAAACCACAAAAAACTTTTAAAAACCCATCCCCAAGATGTGTATCAAAGAAACCTTGTCTGTAACAAGTACACACAAGACTCACAGAGGAGCTCACACCATACACCCCAGACACTGCCATTTCTTTGTGAAAAAGCCTGGAACCACAGCTGTTGGCATCATGTAACAACTAGGGCAAACTGAACGTTTATACCTTCCATATAGTCACAACAAGCTATATTAAAGTTAGCTCCTTCACCTCTCTGTCTTGACAGAGGGAGCTCTTCTCCCTGTCCAAGCAGCACAAACCAGGAAAGCTAAAATTGCAGATGGACATCAGTAAAAGAAAAATTTCACACACAGCTGATCAGATCCCAACCATCACAACATGGATCCATGCACAAAGGCTATTATTTTCATCCTATTAATTTGAACTAATGTAAAATGTCTTAAAGGATGTAAGCAGACAGCAGCTCAGTTAAAGAAACAGTTGTCAAAATATCATCTCAAGCACATCATTCTTCTTCAGCACATGGGCTCTTTGAAAGTGTGTGACTCTAGCACCCTTCATGTAAAATGTGCTGAACCCACAGCTTGGCCACTCGAGTCCACAACATGCAATATCAAAAAATAAGAAACCTTCAGACTCGTTGTCAGAAGGCCAGCAATAAAATCTGGGACTCGACAAAAGACATGGCATGTCTCCACATGCCAGTACCTCCTCACACAAAACACCCCAAATTCTCTCTTCAAACCCTTCACGGCTCACATGGTTATCACAGGTCTTCATAATTCACCGAGAGACATCACCAAAAGAACGATTTCTCCTTACCACGGTCCATATTTGATTTCTCACTTGTACATGTGACAAGCAAGAGCATTTTGTACAGAGGCATTTCAAGGAAGCCCTTCTGTGAAAACCTTTCTCTTTCCAGCTGTAAACATGAAAGGCAAGTATAGGACAGCCAGGCAAATGCAACAGATCTGATCTTTCACACACTATCTGACAGAAAGGACCACATTCAGACCATCAAAGGATAGAGGCAGGAAGAGAAAACCTGCAGAAAGAAAAGGATCACAACACACTCTTCTAGATCACTTAACTAAAAGTAGGTAATTCATTCAGATGTTTAGCAGGTAGTGAATACAAAGCTTGTTCTACCCAAATTTCCCCATGGTATTTGCCATAAGTACATGATTAAACTGTGAAGTTACAAAATTATGATTAAATGCAAAAACATACAAAGAACCTCCCAGGGCTTTCCATACACATGGAATAATATGTCTTCTAGCCAAGTATCTGGGGAAGGAAAACCTCACATTTTAGACAGGCACTGAACAAGGAAAAGAGGAAAAATATTCCTTTGTGTACTTTAATGGGCCCTCATGCACAACTCCTAAGAATTGCTTTACTATCCTTTACAAAATCCATGGTGTTCCTTGACCCTCATAATTGACACCACTGGCCAGTCTCCCAGATAACTTCTCTTCAACATGCCAGAAAATCTCACCACAAACTTTACATAAATATTTTTGTAGGTAGGAGAATGTATATATCTGGTAACAGCAGTTCTGTGAAGAAACCTCAAAGTTCTAAAACTACAAGAGCTGTGAACCTCAGGAGAGATTCTGTCAATGTATATATCCTTGCGATCCTCATCTTGTTATACCTCCTCTAGTTCCATGGACATATCACCTCTCACCTGTCAATAGCTCTTGCCAAAGTACGTATTTTAAAACCAGGGGGTACACTGCCCATTTTCAATGCTGCTGAATAAAAACACACAGGCCCAAAAGAAGGACCCTCAAACGACCAACAGCATCTCCAACCACCTTTTAAACAGAGCACTGTAACCATGACAATTTCAACACAAAAAGAGGCATAGAAGTTCAGTTCATCACTGAAAAATGCTTTGCCATCCACATCAGCAATTGCAGAAAACAGAACACGGGAGAAAAGAACAAAGGCAAGAGACGAAAGCATCAAGAAATAAAATAGTACGAGGAACTTACCGGGAGAGCAGAGGGGTCCACCGGTGAGCGGCCGGCAGGATCGTGGTCCCCGAGCAGCGGCGCGGGCTCGTCGGGCGGCGGCCGGGCCGGGAGGGTGTCGCAGCAGCTGCCGGCCGAGAAGCGCAGCTGGCTCTTGCGCGAGTCGGCCGTGAGCGACACCTCGTGCGAGTAGGACTGGAGGAAGGCGCGCACGCCGTCGATGCCCACGAAGTGCGACACGGGCACGCCGCGCAGGGC